GGACATTATGCACATGAAGTGAGAATGTAATGGGGATTTCATGCTAAATCCTTTCAGAGGAGTCCCTAGTTGACCTGTTGTTATGCAATTTTCTTGCATACTTTATCCTTGTTTTCCTGTTGCAGTATATGCAGCCTGTAGCCAGGGAGGTTTAAGGGGTTCGTACTAAACCCTCCTTTGAAAACAAATAAGCACTATTAAAGTCGACTTTCTGTTTCAACTCACAGACAACTGTGACTAATAAAGTTGAGATTCTGTTTAATGCAGTCCATGTAACCCCCCTGAAAATTCCTGGCTACTGGCCTGATATGATTGATTACAATGTGTTTCCTAGACTTACTACTTACTTTTATTTGGTTACTATTTTGGAAGGGGAATGCAATTACCTTCAATGTGGTTTCTAATCTCAAAGATTACACCCTTACTGACATCGTTTGATTGAGAGTATTACAGAGGAAATATCTGAAAAAGTTGTCTAAAAAACATTTACAAGCAGGAATATATGTGTAATCATTTGTACATTGAATAAGAACAGTATAGACTCATAGTACTTGTTTGAGCAGCTAGCTTTAAAACATAGTCTTGAGTGTTACTATAGCTATTATTTAGTTAATATAGAACTAGCTGAGTGATTCCAGTTGTTAATAGAATAAGATAATCTGTCACACAGTAGCATACATTGACTTAAACTTCCTGCAATGAAATTGATACTCATATGATCAAAGAATACTTGAAACTTTAATTTGTCATAATATAAAAGTTCCCCAAATAACTTAAAATAAGACCCTACCTTTTCTTACTCCATTTAGAAGACCATTATGGCACTGAAATAACATGTGAGATCTGTTTGTATTATGTAAGTACATATGATGTCTGCCTTGATTGGGAACATGAAATCCAAAGCATGCCATTGTAACTCCATGTTAAATAATCTGATCATTAACATTTCAGAAGGGACCAATTATCTGACCTGTTGAAATACAATTTTCTGACCATTTGTACATCCATTTTTCAAGTCCTAAATATATTTGTATGGTAAAGTCTTTTCCTGCAGAAAATACTTGAAATAGTTTCCACTGGACGCTAAGCCACCATCAATTAATCAATGACCCAGTAGTTCTGTTTACAAAGCCAGTTAACCATCAAGCCATTTCATACAGACTACAGTCAGACAATTTAGAAGGATTGTTAAAACAGTTACAAAATAGAAAGTGATTCATGAAAAGAAAAGAAAATTTATAAAACTGTAGAGGCTTTCTTGGTTACTAGTTTCAAAACCTAACTTTACCCTTTGAAGAATTCAGAGGCTAAAATTTCTTGATTGGAAACTTTTTCATTGATAGTTTCAATGCCTCAACTTTACCCTTTGAGCTTTCTTGGTTGAAAAATATTACTCTATAAAATAAGGAGATGTGATATAATTGCCAAAGACATAACTATCCACCAGAGAATATATGTTAGCAACTATAAGTTGCCATACAGCCAGTCAACAAAGAGCAAAACCCATACCACATAGCAACCTACTAAAGACCCTGACATAACAAAGTGTAAAACCATTCAAATGAGAAAATTTGTGTACAAAACAAACAAACAGATATGATATACTGGTACAGCAACAAACAACAACCACTGAAATAAGGCTCCTGACTAATGGGACAGGCACATACAGAATGTGGAGAACATGTTAGTCTCACTGCCTTAACTTTATCCTTAGATCAGTTTACAAGCTTTTTTGGTTGAAAACTTTTTCATTACTAGTTGCACTAGTTGCACTACCTAATCAACTTTACCATTTCAGCATTTAGAGGCTATTTTGGTTGAAAACTATTACCCTTCTACTTATACCTTTCAGCAGTATATTTTGTAACATAAAAACTGAGAAAAAGAAATAAAACTGACATAATATAGTGTTTTATTTGTTCAATTTCTATGTTTAACTATTGAAAAAGAAAAATATTTTTATTTTTGCATGAGTAAGTAAAATAAACATTGTTTAAATTTTATATTAGACTTTAGATATTGACATAGATATAGACTTCCCCAGGGCTCCTACCATCTGATAAAGGGATACAAATTATACTTGAAGATGGTTTCTAATGAAGACATCAGAGATGATTTATTCATCTGTTTAAAATTTGAAGTAATTTTTTCTACCATTAAAAATAATTTTCACGCTTAAAAAGCTTTTAAGATTATTAAAATCATTCCATCATAATCTTAAAGATAAGTCTGATGTATGATGGGTCTACTCAAATTTAAATTGCTAATTGAAAAATTTCTAAATTTGAGAACAGACTATATTTTAAAGAAAGATAAGTAAAGAGAAGTTCTGATGTGTACGTAGAATATGGTTTAACCATGTGACAGGACGTACCACAGCTTTTGTATTCATTGTACCATCCTGCGACAGTGCAGACCTTGTTACAATACCACTACTTTAGCCCCCAGGTAGTTTGTAAATTGATGTGCTAAAAATATCAATGAACTTGTCCTTTAACTCTCGTTGTGTCCATTGTTGTCATATGTATAGGTATACCTTGGCTAAAATAATATCTCGCTTCATCGAAATCTTGATCTGATGATAAACTTTTAACTACAGGTATCAGAAGTTTAATTAACTGATTTTACTTGCCTGAGTTTGTTTTGATTTTGAAGCATCTCCATGACACAGAAAATGTCAAGGTGTGTTAAATAAATTTTGATTTAATTTCCATTGAATATCAGGATTTTGCATTTTAAAAGTGAAAATGGAATTAATTGTGATAATTTTGGTTTCTTAATGGATATTATAAGTAATAAATGGGTGAGAGATGTCGGACCACTTTTGATAAATACTTCCAGAATGTACAGGTATTCATTTTTTGTTAGAAATAAGAAGTGTTGAATTTATTGATTTATTTATTGAATGAAAAGTAACTGCAATTTAATTCAATTTGATTTTGGGTAAATATTTACTTGATTGTCTGTTGTCCTATGACAGCCTTCTTCCTTCTCAATACTTTTTTTATGGGAGGGGGAGGGATATTAAAAGGGGTGGTGGAGATTGGGATGGCTTTGACTACTGACTACCAAAGTAGAAAGGTTAACTTTTCTAATCAATCATATTCAATTTAACCTGTTTTTATTATTACAAATTTTCAATAAGACCCAACAGACCTGTTGGGTTATGATACAGAAATCAAGAATTTTTTTTAAACATTATTTGGGCCATTATGATATGATGTTTTGGAAGTTTGCAGACCATGCAGTGATTTAAATTTTAAGCAATGCACTGTTTCACATACGTTGTATAATTGTAATGATGGTTGGAGTTATTCCTTATCTTATATTTATTCTATGTGATTTTATACAACAGGGACTAAAGGGACATGGATCTCCCTTTCTTCTTTTACTTTCCTTTCTTTTGGTGTTTCAGATTTATAAGTTAATTTTCTAGGGTAGTTCAACTTATTCCTGCTTATTATATTTGTCCTTGCTCTGTATTTACATACACCTCTACAATAACTCTATACATGCATAGAGGGGCATCATGTATAAACTACAGTTATTTTAATATTGTATGGATGAAAGCAAGGATACATCAAATAAGTGGAAATAAGTTGAAATGTAGAAAATTACTAAAAAATCTTAAACACCATAAAAAAAAAAAAAGAAGAAGAAAGATAAGTCCATGCCCAGAATGTCTGTGATTTTTTTTATCGGAGTTTAAAACAACTTTCAGTTCTTTCATCTCATTTGAATTAGGTTGTCACATTTCAGAATTGAACGCTTCTTTTTATAATTTAATTGGGGTGTTAAAGCTTTGACTTATCAGAAGCACATTTTGTATAAAGTTCAGAAGAACTTCATTCTAAAAATGTGTGCACGATCAACGCTTTTACAACCCTATAAAATTATAAAAAGAGGCATTCAATTCTTAAAATAACATTTTTATGCTACAACCATGAAATTACGAGCTCTTTGTTTGCTTTTCTATGCATTGTTTTAACACTGTCATTGATAGCATGTACAGTCATAGCTGTTGTATTTTATACAGAAACAAAATTTAATATTGGAGTGCCCTACGATCATGACGATTGTTATCAGCCAATCAAAATAACAGATTAATGAAACATACATGTAGTGTAATAAGTCAGTGATGAAAGAAAGCAACTGACCTTTAATATAACCTGCATCAGTCAGTGCAACTTGTAGACTCAGCCCCTGCAAAGACAGAGACATATTTCCTATGATATTTAGTAGGAAACATCCTTCCTATGATATTAAGTAGGAAACATCCTTCCTATGATAAACATCCTTCCTATGATATTTAGTAGGAAACATTCTTCCTATGATAATTAGTAGGAAACATCCTTCCTATGATAATTAGTAGGAAACATCCTTCCTATGATAATTAGTAGAAAACATCCTTCCTATGATATTTAGTAGGAAACATCCTTCCTCATCCTTCCTTTGATATTTAGTAGGAAACATCCTTCCTCATCCTTCCTTTGATATTTAGTAGGAAACATCCTTCCTATGATATTTAGTAGGAAACATCCTTCCTATGATATTTAATAATAAACAACCATGCTGAAAAATTTTGAATCTGTAATCAAATATTTTTTTAAAGTTAAAATGAATTCAACTGTAATGACAGAAAATCCTCCATGAGAGAGCTCTGCCTTTTCGATACATTTTAACTTCAAATATTGAAAGAACTTCATGATGTATTCAATAGTACTTAGCCTTTGAGTTATAATATTGAAGTTTGACTATACATTGTAAGGAACAGCAACATCAAAAATATTAATCCTATCATGGTTAGTTACTACATACATCCAAACCTATGTACCAGCTTCATAAAATTATTGTTTGAGCAACTAGTTTTTGTTGCCTGAATCTTCGAAATTAAAAATTAAAACAATAAATTGCACACGTTTTCACATGTACATCTGGTACACACAAAAAGCCAGCAACATTTTGCAAAATGTAATTTTTGGTGTCTTTATGTTTTGTAGATGCCTGCCTGAAGAGACAATATCTGCCATAGCCTATAGTAGGCCACTACAGTCATCACAGAACCATCATCACCATGTCAACAATATAAATCTGCCAACATCAAGTACATCACCACCACATGTACCAGTACCTACGTCTAACTACAATCACTTGAGACCACATGCCATTCTAAATGGACAAAATCATTGCTATGACAACCCTGCAATGCATCCGTATGTATTACATTATACTTTTAAATGTTTTTGTTGTTTTAACTTATGAATGAAAGACTAAATATATAGTCTCTGAGAAAGTCCTAATTTTTTAGAAAATAATTTCTTTAAAAAAAAAGCTAGTCACTATATTTGTTTTTATTATGAGTTGGGATCTGACAGTGATTTCCAAGCATAGGATTCTTTCTTTTGTACTTTATAAGTTTTATGTCATGAGCATTTACCTGAAATGTCATCAATTTCAGTTCATTAAGATAATGGATAGCCTCTGTATTGACCTCTATAATTAGGCTGGAAGGGGGAAAACTGAGTTTTTACCCTACTCCTTACTTAAAGTAATGTTTGAGCTGCAGGATCATGTTGAATTTATTTCATATTTTCATATGTAAAGGGTATCCATGTAGCTTTCTCCTGTTTTGAATGCCTCGGAGATTTCATTTTAAGTGGGAGGTTGTGGTTTGATTCCCCTCTGTGTCAATCTAAATAAAACCTTTAGAATTGATATTTTTTGGTTTGCCATTTAGCATGCAGTGTTAAGATATGTCAAAGAGACAACAACCCGACCAAAGAGCAGAAAACAGCCGAAGGCCACCAAAGGGTCTTCAACACAGCGAGAAAATCCTGCACCCAGATTCAGCTGGCCCCTAAATAAAAATGTGTACTAGTTCAGTGAAAATGGACTTCATACTAAACTATAACCATGTTAATAATTCTACCATAGCATTAGCAGCTCATTTTCTCATGGAATACCAGTCCTACAACTTCAGTGTTTCTACAGTCACTGTGTATCAACAGTTTCCTGTAATGGGGGAAATTATCATGTGTTTATTTTTGCTAATTTCACTATCAAAAACACCTCCTCACGTAAATTTGATCTTTAAGGGAGATCAGAAAAGGGGAAATGAAAAATGTAAAAAATAAAACCTTGCAAATATGTTTGCCCCAGAAATTCTGACAACACTGATGGATGCCATAGCAATCTCAAACCAAAAATGAAGAGTAGTAATAAGAAACAAATTGGGGGAAATCAATAAATATTCATCAAAGAAGATCTGACTACCCCCCAAAAAAAAACAATGGTCCACTATTAAAACATTTCACAAAAAACTACAATTTGAGCTACAGTAACATGAATCCAACTAAAAATAATGGAAAGGACTCAACTGCCTTGGAAGAATAATTGAATCCAACTCCACTTCTGACATTTTTTATCTCTAATACTTGATCATGTGAAAATCTGATGAAATGTCAAGATGATAAAGTATCACACAAAAGCCTCCATGGTAAATTACCACACTTACATACCACATGTAAATTCTGTTAAATATAAACCAAGAAGGAAATACAGAGATAGTCTTTATTTGTATACAGAACTTTTTATAAGGGGGGGCGCACTGATTGCCATAAGAGGGGGCCCGCTACAGTCATGCTTCAGTGATTCTCTATATAATCAAACAAATTTTTCCCACAAAAGGGGGGCCCCTGAGGGCCATTCCCCCTGGATCCGCCTATAGTATATCATGCTTAGATAAACAGGATGACATTATAACCAAAAAATATTGGACAGTTAACAACTGCCCACACTACGTAACAACACTGAAACCATCTATAACACAATACATTGTCGAGATAGCATGACTTTGTATAGGCAAAAATATAGTGGGTTTAACAAGTTTTATGTACACAGTGACAAACCTCACCCTTTTTAGCTCACCTGGCCCGAAAGGGCCAAATGAGCTTTTCTCATCACTTGGCGTCCGTCGTCCGTCGTCGTTAGCTTTTTACAAAAATCTTCTCCTCTGAAACCACTGGGCCAAATTTAACCAAACTTGGCCACAATCATCATTAGGGTATCTAGTTTAAAAAATGTGTCCGATGACCCCGCCAACCAACCAAGATGGCCGCCATGGCTAAAAATAGAACATAGGGGTAAAATGTAGATTTTGGCTTATATCTCTGAAACCAAAGCATTTAGAGTAAATCTGACTAGGGTAAAACTGATTATCAGGTCAAGATCTATCTGCCCTGAAATTTTCAGACAAATCTGACAACCTGTTGTTGGGTTGCTGCCCCTGAATTGGTAATTTTAAGGAAATTTTGCAGTTTTTGGTTATTATCTTGAATATTATTATAGATAAAGATAAACTGTAAACAGCAATAATGTTCAGCAAAGTAAGATCTACAAATAAGTTGTCCTGACCAAAATTGTCAGTCGACCCCTTTAGGAGTTATTGCCCTTAATAGTCAATTTTTAACAATTTTTTGTAAATTTTTGTAATCTTTTACAAAAATCTTCTTCTCTGAAACTACTGAGACAAATTTAACCATACTTGGCCATAATCATTATTAGGGTATTAAGTTCAAAAAGTTTGTCCGATGACCCCGCCTTCCAACCATTATGGCCAACTTGGTTAAAAATAGAACATAGGGGTAAAATGCAGTTTTTGGTTTATATCTCTGAAACTAAAGCATTTAGAGCAAATCTGACAGGTGGCAAAAATGTTCATCAGATTTAGATTTATCTGCCCTGAAATTTTCAGATGAATCCGACAATCTGTTGATGGGTTGCTGCCCCTGAGTTAGTTTTTTGTTATTATCTTAGATATCATTATAATATCTAATATCTAATACTATTAATTATGATTTTAACCTTATTTTACATGATTTCCAAAGCATCAGTAAATACAAGTGAGCGACACAGGCTCTTGAGAGCCTCTAGTTTATGTACACAGTGACCTCCCCCTTTTCAGATTTAAAAGTAAAACACACAATAAAAACAAGTGATAAGTTCACTCTTTTGACCCCTTAAATTTGAAAATCAAAATAAGTTATAAACTTATCAAGTAACAATCTTCAGATGTTCACAAGATCATTTATCTGTCAGTTAGGTAATTCTGTCCAGGATCTTTATAGCAGTAACAAACTTTGCAGTCTTTGCTGTTTGCCCTAAATGCAGTATTTGGCCTGGCATTAAATCATATATAAGAAGATGTGGTATATGATTGCAAATGTGACAACTGTCCACCAGAATTAAAATGACACGGATGTAAGCAACTATAGGTCACCATACGGCCATCAAGGATCAGCAAAACCCATACCGTATAGTCAGCTATAAAAGGTCTGACATGACAAAATGTGAAACAATTCAAACGAGAAAACCACCGGCATGATTTATGACAAAACAATTAACAAAAAAAAAAATATGGCCGAGTATTGTATGTATCCAACACAAAACCAAACACGTCTACATTACGTCGCTATATCTATTAATAGAGAAAAAATGGTTGACTGCCATATTTTGTTTGGATAAAATAAATTGCTGCAAAAGAATATCTTCAAATAGAATATTTTCATTTGCATGAAATAGTATAAAATTCCTTGTTTTTATCAGTCAAGAGCTGTTCTAACTCATATTCAGTAATACACGAAGAATCACGATTGCGGAAGAAATATTTGTCTAAAAAATGGGGGTTTACAATAGATTCGGCATTCAATTTACTGTTCATTATTTGTAAATTTTTCTGCAAATATTTGCTGTTTTATTTTATTCAAACATTCATTCAAAAGTCCAAAAGTAAAAAACAAATTGTTTTTAAGTGATGATTTATAGTATTTATTTGTAAAGCTACAAAAACTAACTGTCCCCCATACAATCAAGGTTCAGTTTCAAGAACGTGTCAATGTCGGAATTGTTCTTTGTTGTAGCATTAAATAAACCCAAACAGATTTTTTGTAAAGATTATTGTACAACCTACGTGATTTTTTATACCATGTGACTGTCGGGATAATTAGAGGGGTAATAAAAAAAAAAAATGGACTGGGACATTTTTAAGAATTTATTTTCTGGTTTAGCACCAACAAGGTAAAGAAAGTTAACTTTTTGAGTTGTAAATATTGTTTTTTAATACTTTACATTTTCAAAGTAATGTTTATTCATGTTTTATTCAGTGTTGATTGATGTTAATATTAACCACACCTCCATCGTGGTTTGTTTAATATTTGTTCAGACAGTCGTTAAATTGGGTAATTAATAAATTATTCATGTTGTACTCATGTGCAATCAGAGTGAACAAATTTTCACACATTGAGACAATCGGGAAAAATCTTAAATCATAATATTAATGTTTGGAAGAAAAAGTAATATTGTGAAATTTTATATATATAGGTTTTAAAGTATTTAAATAACAAGCATAAATATTGTCTCGATTTGAACATTAAACAAGTGTGAAATATTAGACATTTCCAACAAGCTATACCGTAACAATAAGACCAGAGTATAGTTTACAAAATTAGATGTTCCCCGCTGGTACGGATTGTTCTTTTAACGGTGACAGGGAACAATGGGGTCTCTATGCCTGGTGTTACCGCCCAGCACAGTAAGATTATTTTTTCTTCATTTTGATCATTTATTATGTGAGTGTCACTTTGACTTTAGATACCATTGCCATTTATCACAAAAATGTATTTTCGGCAGTCAAATAGTGCATTTTTTTTACATTTACAAGGTTTGGACCAGTTAGAACACATTTCATTTTTTTCACATACAGTGCTTGTCCTTCTAGAATCTCTAGATTTGCAGATAATTCAAATGTTTTATTTGAAGAATTTTACATGGAAAAGAATAATATTTATTTATTCATATTTTTCAATGTATTTATCATAAAAATTATCAGTGTTTGTAATAAAAAAAAAAGTTAAATAGACAAAAATATAAACATCCATGTGCGTTATTTGACAAAATAAGATTTTAAAAAGTACATGTAATAGAATGCATATATATATATTTTGAATTAATTAAAAGTGCATGCATATATTATTTTAAAGTACGAACTTTTTTCAAATTTCAAATAAAATTTTAAGGGAAAGTTATTTTCATTTCAAATCGAAGAGAACAAATATGTTGGGAGCCAAAAGTGTTTACATTATACTTCAAAAGTACAAAAAATATTAATGAAGAAGATAAAATAAAAATAAAATCATATATTAACATGTTTTCTTATTTCATCGTGGTTTATGTATACGTAATTATATACTGAAAAACTAAAAATTATTTCACAAAAAGAAACTATAAAGAATTAAAAGTTGAAGTTTTGATATATATTAATTTATTTAATTTACATAAAATACCGATTTGTTGTGTTTGAAAACTAGGGATATCATGAATGCTACGATAAATACGTCAGTCCTGATCAATAGCTTTGTGGTGGGTAGTTTTTTATTCTTCATCACCAAAGTTATTTCTGTGTAATAAAGTTTGGTTAATTCGATTGGATAGAATTTATATCATAAAATGTATAAATATATTAGATTTATTATATTGACCATTGTACATGTGAGTCTATGGAGAGGTATATTATGTTCTAACCTTAATTTTTTGTTATATCAAGAATCAATATCGGCATCAAAAAAACATTTTCATCCTTAGTCATATATTTTTTCAATTTTAAAAGTTGCGAGACGTAAGAAATAAGATATGATTGTCATTTTAGTGGAATCAGTTACATTTGAATTTAATATTTATGGTGACTGTACTGCTTCATAAGAACTGACAACACCATGGAATCTGAACTCTTTCTGAAACTCGATGATTTTCCATAATTCTTTCAAGATTTTTAAGCATTTTGAAATACAATCAGATTTATGGTTTGAATAGTTGAGTGTGTAAAATCTAAAATGAGTAAAAGGATATTTAAAATCCGTGTTGAATTAAATTTAAAGTAAGTTTTAGTCTTGCAAGTCCCTTATATTGCTAATTTAAGGTAGATTAAGCTAAATTAAATACAAGATAATTTTTTCATTCTTTGCCAAAATGTTGTTTTATATCATGCTATTTTCAAAAATACAATAAAAACTATGGATCATGGAGCTTAAATTTATCCAAGCTACAGGTTGGGCAAAATTGTCATATTGTGGAAGGATTATAAATAGATGGCACTTTTGTGTATTAGAAAGAAAATTAAAATTCAGTTTAAGAATATAACTAATCTAATGTGCTTTCAGAAAATAAATATAAAAACTGGGGTCATTCTTGCTACATACAGAAATAGGTAAATTTACTGTACATTCCATTTTTAAAAAATAATGAAAATTTTCATAAACAAATTCCATTCCTGCATCAAATTTGCTCGTTTTAGTAAAAATATAGACCAATCATTTGCACCTATATGCATTAAAAAAATTAATTGAGACCACTGATCTACCTTAATGATGTATTGATTGTACAAATTCCATGTAAAGGAAAGACATCATTGAAGATATGGGGCATTAAGGGAAAAAATAAAAATGAGTGGATTTTCATAAGACAACATTTTGAATTACCTTATATCAAGGAATTACTGACTCAGCAGGAGAAAGTATCACACAATGTGACTGACAAAGTATCTTATAGTGTGATTGACAAATTATCTTACAGTGTGACTGACAAAGTATCACACAGTGGAACTGACAAAGTATCTTACTGTGTGACTGACAAAGTATCTTACAGTGTGACTGACAAAGTATCTTACAGTGTGACTGAGAAAGTATCTTACAGTGTGACTGACAAATTATCTTACAGTGTGACTGACAAAGTATCTTACAGTGTGACTGACAAAGTATCACACAGTGGGACTGAAAAAGTATCTTACAGTGTGACTGACAAAGTATTACACAATGGGACTGACAAAGTATCTTACAGGGTGACTGACAAAGTATCTTACAGTGTGACTGACTAAGTATCTTACAGTGTGACTGACAAATTATCTTACAGTGTTACTGACACATCAGAAGATAGTATCTGACAGTGTTACTTACCCAGCAGAAGATTGTTTCAAGCAGTGTTACTGACAAAGAAGGAGAAAGTAGCTCACAGTGTGCTCACAGTGTTACTGGCACAGTAGAAGAAAGTATCTTATAGTGTTACTGGCAATGTTACCTACACAGCAGGTGGTTGTTTCAAGCAGTGTTATTTACACTGCAAGAGATATTTTCTGGCAGTGTGAATGACACATCAAGAGATAATAACTCACAGTGTTACTGACACAACAAGTGATAGTTTCTGTCAGTGTGACTGACCCAACAGGAGATAGTATCTTGCAATGTGACTGACACAACAGGAGATTTTATCTGGCAATGTGAATGACACAACAGGAGATAGTATCTGGCAGTGTTACTGACACAGCAAGGATAGTATCTCACAGTGTGGCTGACACAACAGGAGATAGTATCTGGCAGTGTTACTGACAGCAGGAGAAAGCATCTGACAGTGTTACTAACACAACAGGAGATAGTATCTGACAGTGTGACTGACACAACAGGTGAAATTATCTGGCAGTGTAACTGACACAGCAAGAGATAGTATCTCACAGTGCTACTGACACAGCAAGAGATAGTATCTCACAGTGCTACTGACACAGCAAGAGATAGTATCTCACAGTGTTACTGCCACAACAAGAGATAGTATCAGGCAGCAAGGCACTTAATATGTATTGTACAAATTAATATAAAAATGTTGGAGTACTGTCATACATGTTCATGACTTTATCTTATTTCAAAGCACTATTTGTCTGACTGACACACAGTTGCAGTATTCTTTTAATTTTCTGATTTTAGAATTGACTGTATTTGACATATGATTGCATTGATTTTCTTATTTCAGAACACTGCCTGACAGTCCACCTGATTCAGAGCCATATTCACCACCAGATGGACATCATAATCCAGCAGGAATAGTGACAACTCAAGGTAAGATACCAGACATTCATTCTGGATTCAAATATCCTTTGTTGCCAGTTTCTTTTAACTGGCTATAGTTATAAGAGTAAGAGTGGGAAATCCCAAAGTCTTTGTTAAACTAATGGAAACCCCCAGAATCTTTCTGATCAAAAAGATAGGAAACTATTTTCACTGATTCAGCATGACTTGTGGATGCTAGATGCCTACACCTCATTCCATTATCTTACAAAGAGAAAAGATTAAGTTCATGTATCACACTATTTGATAGAAAAAAAATCATTGGAAAAAAACAGAAACTGCAGAGTTATGTGGTTATAAAGTGTAGTATTTTTGAGAGTTTTATAAAAATATATTTTCTGATGGTTCAGAAAAGTTTTAGTAAGGGGATGTCCATTTGTCAACTCCTTAAAATCAGACTGCTTGTGATCACTGAAGGATAAAGGTTGCTTGCATTTTGCATTGTGAACTTAGAATAAAACATTGCATTTTATTAAGCAATTGAGGGCAATATTTTGAATTGGGAGTTATCTTCCTTTGTCCATTGTAGTTGAACCTATTTTTAGAACAGATATATTCATTCACCATGCACAACCTATGTTATTTTTCAATAAAATAGTTTTCTTGACAAGTATGGTTATACACATAAACATCATTTTATAACTTGCATATCTGAGATGTATCATTCATAAATTGTTTGACATGGACATGAATAGGATCCAAAGAATGTGCACCTCACTGTACTATGTTGTTTGTGCTTTCAAATGTACAGGTTAGGCCTTGAAACCAGGAAAAAAATTGGGTTTTAATTGCATTTCATGTATTTTATTTAATTTATCAATAATAGTTTTCATGACAAAAAATTGCTTAAACAAAGCCCTTGACAACTTTCTGTGGTACACCTTCAATGTAATACTGATCTTTTTAATGTCAAAGGATAAAGTCTGTACTCACTCCTATCTATTACCTGCACAAGATCATAACACCTGATGATACAGAGTAAGAATGTGATATTCTTTGATATTTAATACACAAGATTCAAAACTATAGGAAAATCCAGAAATAATGTTCTGAAACATTATACTCTGTAGCAAGCAAGTCTATTCTTACAGACAATGACTATCTATTACACAAGTTGTATTTGATAAGTCAGTTGACTCGAGCCATCTGAAATCTGTTTTGAAGAATCAGCATTGACACACCTTAATGATTTATGAATATTCTCACTAATAACGATTATACTGAAAAAATATTGTAAAACTATTGGCTGAGAGTATAACTTTGATGTACAGTAAAAGTCATCAGTCAAATTATTGTCAGTCCTAAACAGAGTAACATTGAAATACTTCTAGATTACATAGAGTTTATTATTTTTAAATCTTGAGTAGATTATTTGGACATATAAATGATTATTTTCTCTACTAGTTTGATAATGTAAATGAATATTTTTTCAATAAAAAATCCCCCTCCCCCTTCTGTTTAGGGTGGTCCATGGTTGTTTGGAGAGTGCTGCACTCCTAGGCTCCTAGCATAAAAAAGATTCCTAGCATCATTTGTATAGAATAGGCTAACATTTTCCAATCCTATCAAAGTAACTCTCCATACATGCCATACATTTCCTGTGGCAGTCAAAAGTTGTTCCCAGTTCAGGTCCCATTAATACTGCTGGGGTGTTGAACCCCTCCTGTCTATCAAACAATCAATATCGAAGAATGAAATGTTGTAATTTGTACGATTGACCTGATCTAAATCTAATCAACTATATCCATTACATTAGCCAAGAGTTATTTCATAAAATATTAACAGTTTTGAATAAACAGTGCAGAAACTGGTTTATCTGTAGACCTATACTGATTATGATTTCTAACATGATAATTGATCTATCAGAATGAGAATTAAACATCTACTTGACTGCAGTTTGGAGATAGTGCTACTAATGAACACAAGTCAAAAGACCTGATGTCATATGCTTGGATGACGGATAGGGGGTGGCAGTATTGATTAAAAAAAATGTTTATCCCACTAACTTGATCTGTTGTTCAGTCTTCATCTGTATCCAATCGATGACAGATATCTGCAAATATCTGGAAAAAGCTCCTATATTCAGTAAATGGCAGTTTATAAATAACTTAACCCTAAAGAAGCTGTGTGTGAATACAATTTTTTAATGAAATTTCTGCAAGTGGTACCATACTTTCATATTAAATAATTATATTTGTGATAAATTTGATAAAAGTTTTATATCCATTCTATCAAAATTGTATATTCTTTGTAATCTGTGATGTCCACCTGGAACAACTGAGATATGTAATTTTCTTAAGAAGAAACTAAATAATCATCACCATTAAGGAAAGGGATATAAACAATAGGAAGAGAAAATTCGTCTAGTTTCTCATCAATTTTTGTATGTAGATTTTTATGAAAAATTCTAAGATGAAGTCTAAAAAATGGCAATAGCCTAAATTAATTTTTTATTTGGTGAGACTTATTATACGCTCATCAAATTTTTGACGGGACGGGACGTATTATGTTATACAAATGTCCGGCGTCCGTCTGTCTGTCTGTCTGTCCCTCCGTCTGTCTGTCCGGCGTCAACATGTCGCACCATAACTTGAGAATGACTTATCCAAATTTCATGAAACTTAACATAGTTATAGAAACAATTATAGTTGTTTCTTATGATGGTCAAACGATCTGTATACTTTTTGGTGAAAATAAGATTAAAACTTTTTGAGTTACGGGACTTAGTAACTAAAACAGGTGTGTGTTTTTTTTCACATGTCCCGCCGTATCTCAAAAACAATTTATGATTATTGCTTAAACCTTTACACACTTCTTAGTTATATTAATCTTGAGATCTGTAAACTTTTTGGTGATGATTCAAAATTTTATTTTAGAGATATTGAGTATTTTGTTAAAAAAGGGGGAGGATTTTTTCACATGTCGCGCCGTATCTCAAAAACAGTTTATGATTATTGCTTAAAACTTTACACACTTCTTAGTTATATTAACCTTAAGATCTGTATACTTTTTGGTGATGATTCGAAATTTTATTTTTGAGTTATTGAGTATTTTGTAAAAAAAGGGGGAGGGGTTTTTCACATGTCGCGCCGTATCTCTAAAACGATTTATGATTATTGCTTAAAATTTTACACACTTCTTAGTTATATTAATCTAAAGATCTGTATACTTTTTGGTTTTGATTCAAAATTTTATTTTTGAGATATTGATTTTTTTTTTTTTTTTAAATTCACACACAAGACGAAGGGCGTATCATGCACTCATGGCGCAGCTGTTTATTTAGGGGATGGGGTACTTTTTATTTGTATATTTTGAAAACTCTTGCTTGTTTACAGAAAATATATTATCTAATATCTGCAGATATTGTTAAAAATATGGATCAAGTGGAGTATATAGATATAAGAAGATGTGGTATGAGTGCCAATGAGACAACTCTCCATCCAAGTCACAATATGTAAAAGTAAACCATTATAGGTCAAAGTACTGCCTTCAACACAGATCCTTGGCTCACACCGAACAGCAAGCTATAAAAGCCCCAAAAATGACTAGTGTAAAACCGTTCAAACAAGCAAACCAACGGTCTTATCTATATAAAAAACGAGAAACACTTATGAACCACATCAACAAACGACAACCACTGAACGTCAGGTTCCTGACTTAGGACAGGTGCAAACAAATGCAGCAGGTTTAAATGTTTTAACAGGCGCCAAGCTTCACCCTACCTGAAACAATAGTGTAACATCACAACATAGAAAGACACTCTATAAAATATCAATTGAAATGGCATTTTTGGGGCCCTTTATAGCTTGCTGTTCGGTGTGTGCATGGTTGTGTCATTATAAAGCTTTGGCGTAAAGTCCTGTAAACTGTGATTCACAGTAATTGTAAAATTAATCTTTAATTAGAAGGGGGAATGTTAGTTTAACTGAGTTCCAATTCAAATACTGTGTAACAAACACTTAAAGCAATATATCTTATCCAAAACAAACTTAGATATTACAAAGCAAAAACCTAATGGCTTTGATGTCAAATTAAGAGTATTTTTTGTGTGTGTTTGATTTGATAGCCTTTCTTTCACTTGGGTCAATATTGTTCTTTTACTTTCCGTGATTGGGATAAATGTTTGAAAACTAGAAAAACTGTCAATAGGGCTGACAAATTGATTTTAATCAACTTGTATAAACTAAATAAGGTGAGGTCCATTTTACCCCAGTTTAGAGACAAAATAAACTGCCTGCTTCACAAGGTGAAAAAAATTTAAATTAAAAAAGGATGTTAAAAAAGTTTGATGGTGCTCTGAGGAAAATGTACCATGAAATATTCAACAGTTATTGAACACCACCAGAAAAATAAATATCAAAACTTTGCCTTCAATAAATTCTGTAGTGGAATCTTCATAGTGACAATGGCAAAAAGATAGAAATTTTAAAGTCAGGCAGGATGTTGCTATAGACAGGTGGTTTAAAATAGATATAGATCAGTTGTAAATTTTATCAGGACATGTGGATGTCCAGTTTTAAGTCTTTAAGTCACTTTGTTTGACTTTACTACCTTATAAGTGGTCTATTATTCTGCTTACAGTCAGTCATGGTCAACGATTTCAATTATTTTTGGACTATTTACTCACTTGACCTTTAAGCAGCATGATCGAAATCAATTAACAAAGTTATATCTTAAAAATGAAAATTGATAAATATTCTGTTTAAGACATGATATCTCTGCAATAAAAATATTGTTATAGCGGAGGCATAATTGATTTAGCTTGGTACTGTTAGCTGAACAATTTCATGTCAAGGTACTAACAGTATCGTTTTGAAGATAACTTTAAAGTGGTGAGATGCAGTGAAATTCCGAAAGACTTCAAAAAATCAGAGTTAAGATGTTTTATTTATAGTTAAAGCCTTATGGTTTCTTTGTCCAAATTTTGTTATTTAGATTATAGAAATGATACAAATATTCTATGAATTATGAAAAACTTAATGTAGTTATCC